GAGGGGCTGAAGCTGAAGACATAATGTATGTGAATTGGTTGAGCATGTTGAGGGCAGGACTTATAGCATTAGAGTTTTATACACCTGAAACAAAGAAATGGAGACAAGTATGTTACTGATCTAACCTGCTCATTATTGCACATTTAAAATTAGAAGGATAATGCATGTATATCCAAGAAAACTAGCAATATGAGAAGGCTGTTGTATTTGTATGATATGCAAATGGCCAGATGTGTCACAATAAGTATACTCTCAGACACTGTTGCTATGATTTCCCTCTTCAGCTGCTGATATTACTAGTCTATACTGATCTATGTTACTGGTGTCATTCTAATCCAATGTTGTTCCACCCACCACTCATAGGCTCACATGCAGGCTCCTTATGTTATATTGCATGCATTGATGGATTCTGATACTCCTGTATTTAATATTGAGAGTGTTACTGGCTCTGATGGTAAGCCTGACCTCTTGATCAGGTTTGATAGGAATAAACTGGAGACCATTGCTAAACCTGTCATTAGAGAATTCTTAAATAAACTGCAGGTATGTAGTTTAGGCACTTAGTGCATGATTATTCCTTTAATTGTCTGTTCACTGTTTGTACTTTGTACCATTATTTCTACCATTGTTTACATAATATGCTACTAGAGAGTGCATTCAACCATAAGCAACTAGCTTATATCTACATGCATGTATGTACCCAGTACATAGGTATAGCTAGTTTCTGTTTATGTTCTATTCCCATTTGTAATTTGTACATGTTTATTGTTCATTACTCAATACTGTTATGATAAATAGACGTTCATTTTTCTAGATATACAAGTCTACAGCAGACATTAGCTCAGGACAGTTATAATAAATATTCAACTGTTACTGATGATCATTTGATGTTAAGAGATACTGTAATGGCTAGGAAGATGCCTAGAAGGTTATTTGTACAGCCACACACTTCAATTGATACTGGTAAGCAGGGGATGGGTATATTCAATCATTAATGAACCTGCCTAACCAATGGGTTGGTTTATTTGTTTATTTGCATAGTGTATGCCATTGTTACATAGAGTTTGGTGGCTAGGCACAATTGCTTCACTAACTGTATTCCTTTCATTAGATGGTTCTGTTGTTCTTAATGAGTTTGATAGTTCATTTGAAGGAATCATTTCCTCATTTCTAGCAAGATATCCTAACAATGATACTGAACTGGAGTCTCTTTGGAGAAATGACCAGCATTATTGGAAACAAAAATAGACAATACATTGTACATTTAATACAAAATTAAAGAACTTGTATGTGCATGTATTTGATTCATCGAGTGTTCGTACATTGTTTGTTGCATGACACGACATTGTTGCATGACACAACATTGTTGCTTTTCAGTGTTATAAATTCTGAGGCTACAAAGATGCAGTGAAGTAATGTGAGAGTTGGCTTTTCCAGTGATCAATCGGTTAGATAACACAGTTGTTAGGTATTTTGGTGTGCTGAGATGTAACCTACATGAAATAGACTACTATAAAATGAGGCTGCCAGCCCATGCTAGCGAGACTATGGCATTCTATGAAGTGTACATCATGTGGCAATTATTTACTTTGCACTAACCATTTCACATTTTCTGTAACAGTAGCTGGTCTCTTGCTCAGATTGCACTAAGAACTGACAGTGAGCATCTGGTGGCGGGTCCCTCATGTACCAGAGAATATCACCAGCAACAATAACGGCGGGTGAGGTTGCTGCTCCTCTAGCGCTCTCCTGCACTGGAGCTCGAGGGGGAGCTGCCACTTGCTCCATTAAAGCTCTTACTCTTCCCAGGAATATTACAAGTAACCGTAAAAATATCATTTCTATTTTCTAAACAGATTGGCTGCCACTGATGCTTTCAAGTTATACCAAGGCACACACTCCTCCTTAATGCTCAAACGGAAGTTGTGAACCACAGACATTTCGCCCACGTTATGTTTTAATTATGTTTGTTAATTGTTATAATTTATTAAAAATAATTAAATCATTTAAATCTGTAGCACAGCAGCTGACATTATTAGTGTTTTTTTTATTGCTTTCTCCTCTGTTAACTCAGTGGACTTCATCCAATTTAGATATGTACCTACACCCACACACCCGTATCCATAAATAAACACTGACATATTGATTATGCCATAGATATTATAGACTACGTAACATATACGATTTTTGAAATAAAGTTTTACTAGAAGAAAAAAAAAGAAACAAAAAAGTTTGGTCTGATTAATTATTGGCCAGGCTGGTGAATGAATTCACAGACGTTATCCCACTACCACTCAGTACGGAGCCTTTTGCCTGCTCCCGCTAGGGCCTGGGCCGATACGGTTCTCATTATACAACCTGGACATCACTGGACTCCTCCGCAATACCCATATTGATGCCAAACCCAGTGCGGGCGTCCGCTCAACATAGAGCAGCACCCCCCCAGGAGTCCCGACCTGAAACCATCTACAGACCTCAGCCCTGCAGGTAGCTACAGTTACAGGCACACGCCACTGCGCCCAGCTGAGAAACCACGATACAAATTTGGATAGTAAATCCAAACTACATTGCAAATCCATTCAATGATAAATACATGCATTAATGTTGTTGTACAAGTTCTTTAGACACAAGATGATTATATATTTTTCTAGTTTTATTTACATCAATACGACACAACTTCCTAGCATCCATCAGACGTAGCTTCCCTCCACATTTCCTACTCTCAGCAATCATTACTCCTTTACAGTGTAAATATACATCAGGTAATATACGATGGACTGAACATATCTATATAAAAATATAAAGGGAAGAGGTATCAGTGCATGTTTCAAAAGGAATTCAAACAAGATTAATGATATGCATTATACATGTATGTGTCTGCTGGCAGCTGCAAAGGTGTCGTTTCAGCTGTGATTAGTCTCGGCTGTGATTGCTCTAAGTTAACACAAACACACACACATATCCAAGGAAACTAAAGTTACTATTATGTGAAGCCATTGCCATTGCTCCCACTCACTCAAAATATGAGGAATATGGGAACAATTAGTATCAAACTGGCATTTAATGACGCACTGGTATGAATCCTTACTTGTTTCTCTTCATGATCCAGTTGCTCCACACCAGGTGAGTATGTAATGTTTAATGGAGTTAATGAGTATTTTGTTTTACCAGTACTACACATTGCTTGTTGTCCTTGTAGTTCAGTATTAGTACATGATATAGTAGCACTGCAAAGAAGAAAATGTTAAACACAAGACAAAACATACATGTATAATGCCCACTGCGCATCATGTTTGTGTTATGTGTTGTGGTTTCATTGCTTCAATTTATAATGTCACATAATAGGCACTCACTTCTGCTGTTCCATTGAAGCAATTGACTAAATTTTGATGAAGTTAGTATTGCCACCATGCAGTTCAAGCTTACCTTGTTATTCTTTGTTATTAAAACAAGTGAAGCCTTCATTCTTTCTCTTGTTTTCTCTCTCTTCTCTCTTAACCTTTCATACAGTTCACCACCTGTGACCAGTATAATAACAAGATAAACTGGTTTTGTTCTTTTAAACAGATTTCCTTACCAGCTAGTGTTTTGATACCAAGGCAACAATAAGTTTGAAGAATCTTGATTCTCTTAATCAACCTCTTTTCGTCTATATAAACCACACCCACTAAAATAATACCAGGCACAATCATTAATTTACTAAAAAAACTCTGTATTAGTTTTTCAGTTGTCTCTGCATCAAGAAATCTTGCAAAACGTCTCATTAAAACTCTAACAGACCTAATGTGAATGTAAACAAGAGTAGCTACTCTTGATGTAAACAAGTGCATTTACAAACAAACAATACACAACAACAATACAAACAAACACGCAACAAGTATTACATGTACTTACTGTTCTTCATTGGACAACAACCTTTCTCTACCTATAATAATTTTAGTAGCTAAAAATGTTTTTACTCATTACCTAATATTCTGTATACATCAATAAGTCCATGCTCCCTAATAACACTGATACATACAAAACATAATTAATTATTAACTAC